TAAAAACGACGGCATTCCAGCATCATATCCAAGCTCAGCAAGAATACCTATGACGTCCCCGTATACTTCGGTTCAACACATGCAGCACATTTTAATGAAGACGATGGACCCAATTCAATAATTTACTATAAGTCTTTGAACAAAGTATGGGGTAACACTCATGACAAGAATCATAAAATAGGTCATTGTTGACCGTTGGATTTTTTAAAAATATATTCTTAGGAGTTTACTGGGGTACTACGAATAACACACAATAAAAATTGAATTGGGATGTGTTACATATTCCGTGAAACAGGTTCTTTCATAATTTTCAATCGTGGATGTTTCTAAAATGATATCAGGTATATGAATATTTTCTGGGCCGTGCTACTGACTTGATTCAGACATCTGTCCTTTTTTTGTTAGAAGCTCTTGATAAGATTGTGAAAGTATGAACCATCAGTGCAATAGAATACAATGACAAATCAAAATGTTATACCTTATATACGTTTTTCCTAACCAGATCAGAATATTTGCAGTGACAGTATCCAAGCCGCCTCTAAATATGGTTGGAAAGACTGTCTTAATAGTAATGCATTGTTACTGACCAATCTGAATTAAATCATTAATTTCATTTCATCGAGTCAGATGGCAAATTTTGCAATTCACTATGAAAACAAATATTCACAATTATTAATCTAATAAAAACATTGTATCGCAAAGCACACTGATATATAACAAAGCGAAATAAGGCCAAATCGCGTGGAAATCAAATTTAAAAAGCTCATATATTAAAGTACAATATTAAGGAAAGCAAAGTGAACAATGTCAATAAGAATAAGCCATTTCTATTTTCAAAACTTAGAATTAATTAACACAAGTTAAGCCATTTCTACTCTACAGAACTTAGAATTAATTAACACAAGTATAAGCCATTTCTACTCTACAGAACTTAGAATTAATCAACACAAGTATAAGCCATTTCTACTCTACAAAACTTAGAATTAATTAACACAAGTATAAGCCATTTCTACGATACAGAACTTAGAATTAATTAACACAAGTATAAGTCATTTCTACGATACAAAACTTAGAATTAATTAACACAAGTTAAGCCATTTCTACGATACAGAACTTAGAATTAATTAACACAAGTATAAGTCATTTCTACGATACAGAACTTAGAATTAATTAACACAAGTATAAGCCATTTCTACTCTACAGAACCTAGAATTAATTAACACAAGTATAAGCCATTTCTACGATACAGAATCTAGAATTAATTAACACAAGAATAAGCCATTTCTACGATACAGAACTTAGAATTAATTAACACAAGTATAAGTCATTTCTACGATACAGAACCTAGAATTAATTAACACAAGTATAAGTCATTTCTACGATACAGAACTTAGAATTAATTAACACAAGTATAAGCCATTTCTACTCTACAGAACTTAGAATTAATCAACACAAGTATAAGCCATTTCTACGATACAGAACTTAGAATTAATTAACACAAGTAAAGTCATTTCTACACATACAGAACTTAGAATTAATTAACACAAGTATAAGTCATTTCTACTCTACAGAACCTAGAATTAATTAACACAAGTATAAGTCATTTCTACGATACAGAACTTAGAATTAATTAACACAAGTATAAGCCATTTCTACTCTACAAAACTTAGAATTAATTAACACAAGTTAAGCCATTTCTATGACACAGAACTTAGAATTAATGAACACAAGTATAAGCCATTTCTACTCTACAGAACTTAGAATTAATCAACACAAGTATAAGCCATTTCTACGATACAGAACTTAGAATTAATTAACACAAGTATAAGCCATTTCTACTCTACAAAACTTAGAATTAATTAACACAAGTTAAGCCATTTCTACTCTACAAAACTTAGAATTAATTAACACAAGTTAAGCCATTTCTATGACACAGAACTTAGAATTAATGAACACAAGTATAAGCCATTTCTACAGAACTTCACTTGATACAAGTCATTAAACACATGTCAGTTTTAAAAATTAAGAAAGATCTTGGGAACTCTAATTATAACAATATATGCATATTTCTTTAATTCGTTACTATAGATTTTCTAGAATCTAGCGTCCGAGATTTAATATTTGCATTTCTCTATTTTTCTCTTGCTGGTAGACCATGATGACTGAGGAGCAGTTGTCACTTTTAGTTACATATCCCGGATACAAAATCTGAACACTTAAAAGGTGTTTGAGACGATCCCTGAAACTTTGTACGTCAGAGAGGGTAACCTCGTTTTCGATGTCTACACCTGGTATAGGGGTAAGATGTGTAAGTATGTTTTGTTTACTTACTTCGTTTTATAACCTAAATTATCTTCTTCGGTACGAAACGGAAGATAAAGGTTTGTTCTATATAGATCTGAAATGTTTGTTAAAACAAGGCTAAAGTAGATCGAGTGAAGTGATTTCACAAAAACTGATAAGTGACGGCACTGTCATCACTACGTTTAACTTCCGTTTAATATTCTTATATAGGAAAACGAAAGTACAAAGTTCATCTCTTCTCATTGTTATTGACCAGACCAGTATACAATGGCGATATACAATGATCTTATTTGCATGGTGGTTGTATATATATATATTGATGTATACAGCGTACTGCTACACTGAAATAGGCCGGAAATAATTCTAAACATGTGTATAGCGAAGGGGTGGGAAGAGGGACAAGCTACAGCGTATTTTGAAAATGAAAGCGGATTTTCTAGTAGACGCCACGACCGGCTTGAAAGTAGTATAATGATAGACAATCAGCTGTCATCTATCACCCTATACAGTCACTATGATGTTCTACGATAAACTACCAGTAATATCATATGAAACGTAGTATACTATCACCGGCAAACTTCCGGTGAATATACATCATCTTATCAAGATACTTTATTTCTTCCTCATGACCAACACATAATAATACATATATATTTCTGTAGTCAGGAAGTCCGACAATCCAAATCTACTCACACAAACTGCACACACAAATTAAACAAGAAGATTTGTAATCGTATGTATCGCAAGCTTGATGAAAATTTCTCTCAAAGTAGATACAAGTAAATAAATAAAGTAAATAAATAAAATAAAGGGGATAAACAAATTTAATAACTTTAGGGTCAAGATTTAAATTACTTTTTTTAAAAGTATTTAATACGAAAATCTGCTTCGGATCCAAATGAAAGTAATGTTAAGCTGATAAGGTGGAGTCTTTCTCGAGCTACACACAATGTCACGTTTATTAAATAGTGTAAACAAATTTAACTATAGACCACATATTTCAGACTCTATACAAACTGGATTTTTATATTTAACATGTGTTATTTAAAATAACATCGTATACTGGCTGCTATTCTAAGTTCAATGTGGTCTATATAATCTACAGTACTAAAATATTATATAAGCTCAATACGTGATTTATAATATAGGTATTGATATAATATATTAGCTATAATTAATGGCAGTAGTATTGTGTTCGTAATTATTCGAATACTCGGCCTGTTATTTACATATGTCACCAGTGCAAAGTACACTGTGCCAGTCCGCTTTTGTTGTCATGGAAATTATAGACAATGGTGTTACATCATGAATTGAAAATAACGCAACAAATAGGCTTCCTCCATTTCATTTTATCCGCAATATTTTGTTTTCTTCAAAATTATCAATATGCAAATTTTCAGACTTGTGTGACAAAAGGTATCTCTCTTCCATATGAGATTTCAGGAAAAACGCCGAAGCTCGAAATTTAAAAATACTTCAAAAAATGAAGGCTCATTTAGGTCCTTATACAGAAGCTACATAACGTAAAATCCTGTATTTCGATATTAGAAATTTCGGTACCGTATTTATCAGGTGTTTTAGTGATTTTTAATTGCTTATAACCCTAATGTTTCTAACACATCATACATTCCTGTGTTCATTGTATGAACCGATATACACAAAGCCTATGTGAGGAATACTTGGTCACATTCTCCTCGTACTTTTGAACAGGCCTCCGTGTAAATCTTTCTTTTGTATATATTGGCCTCTTATTTCATCGTATTTTGATTATATCAAAATTCTGTTGACATGTCGGTTTTTTCTTTCATGTTTTCGTAATTCTTATTTACCTGAATATTTTTAGCTCATAATGTTTCCTTAATGTAATTTTATTATCAAAATACCGTATTATTTATCTTTATCCCCAGGTATAACCTAGACGAAAAGATAAACGTCAGACTAAAATTAATATTTAGCTTTATATTCCGATGTATCAATACCGTACTACAATAAGCCTGATCTTAATAAAAACAACAACAAGAAAATATTAACATGTCAACATAATCATAATCAATATTCTCAAATTCGATAAAAACAGATCACAATATGAACAAAAGATAGATTTTTGCCCAGGGACTCTTCAAAAAGTAAAAGGAAAACTTTAACATTTATCAATAATATTTCACAATGAAAATTATTCCTCTGAAATAATTTCTGATATCTACAATAAACTAATGTTTTTCCTTCATATAAAAATACTATGAAGCCAAAATGAAATGCTATGTCACATCTTGTCATACGTCATATAACATAAGCATTATTTTGAGGTCGTTTCTAGTGTTACATCCTTGATTGCCATAGATACATTGGTTTGTAAGTAATATTACTATGAGTTTTACTTACGTAACATTAATAATTAACATCTGACATCAACCTTGAGTCAGGAATCAATATTTTACGTCATTTATTTATTCAGTCTTTTCTCTCTATTTACTCAAGGCCGTCTTTGTAATTTAAGAGAAACCATGATTACGTTTCGCGTTGTTATTGACGTTGCTTTTGCTCTCAAAATAAATGTACCAACGACATATTGTCTTTTAATTTTCTTAATTTTTTTTTCCTTTTTCAGAAACTGGTTAAACATTTTATGTCTTTGCAGAGGCAAAGACAAAAAGCTGGTTTAATTGGAGCAGTACTGTAAGCAATCACTTATAAAGATGGCACAGGCCGCATTTTCCTGTGAGTATAGCATTGACGAAATTAAAAACCTCGAATTTATAGAATGTTATGAAATACTGGAAAAAAATAACATAGACATTAAAGCACTTGAAGAATTAGAAGAACTACAGGATCTTATCATCAAGAACTTACAGCTGAGCAAACGGTGTCAGAATGCTTCAGATGGAGGGCCTTCCTCTGACAGTGGTGTCGATGACAGCGAAACCTCATTTACATCAGTGAGTATGATCAATTTCCTAGTATAGTCGGTACAAAAATTCAAGTTTTCCGCCATTTCTTATTATACCTTCAGTCGCTCAAAATTTGTATTTTAATTTCATATTTTGCTTGATACAGTCAGCTGACCTGATGGACCAGATTATATCACGTGACCGTAAGGTCAAAGTGAAACTGAAGGATGTGTATGACAACATCGGGAGCTTTTTCAAGATGACGCAATATACATCCGATGCTGCGCTCAAGCACGAACTAGAAATCGAATTTCAGAATGTAGAAAGTATGGTAGAGGAGAACTCTGACGAACTCATGTGTGATGAATGTCCGATCGTAGTGACAGGTAATATCGAGGGAGAAATGCAAACATTTCGAAAAAAAGTATTAAAATCATTTCAAACATGCCAGTTATCAATTTAAACTCCTTTTATATGACAACAATTATCTAATAATTTAACTTACGATATCGGTAACAAAAATAAGAAAAATGACATGTTCCAGCAACCTATGAATCGTCACAATTATTTCGTCATGGAAGGGGACGGAGGTTAAGCTAGGTCCTGTGTAATTTTGTTGTTTTGATTACTTAATGACGTTTCACGATTGGTTCGAAATGATACCTAAGTTAAAGAGCCAGACCCACTCCTCGACCGATATAATCTTATATCAAAAACAAATTCATGATTTTCTATTTCTCTCGGGTAGCAAAAGTTCTGACTTCTGAATTACCCTGTAATACTGCAAGTTTAAAGTAAATCGCTACCAATCTAAAGTAATAAATAATTTTTAAAAAGAATTCGAAACGACTCAGTGCTAAGTCATAGTTATGCGGGAAGTCCTGACCTCTGACGCATGCGCAAAGAACTGTAAATAAATCTGCCGTTTTCCAACATGGCATAAAGCGTGCGAGGGAAGCGGGGAAGAAAACGTGTTTTGACGGACCCTGAGGCGAAAAGAAGGAAGATGGCTGGTTCGTACTCTGTATCGCTCTCTATTTGGCTCTCTCGTGTAGTATCAGTCTAAAATCATATTCATAAACACTCTTATCATCGAATATTCGCTTTAGATAGATCCATTTCGCGATGTTCTATATACTCGTTACCGTATCGTAGCATCCATTTGAGGGCCTCTTTGCAATAAATCGTAGTTTTTCTCGTAAAATGCACGTTTTTTGTGTCATATCTAAGCATTGAAAGATGTGATCAATGCATACGTTTGATGATTTCCATACATGATATATAGAGTATTGGTTGCATTTATCGGTAAAATCTCTTTACAAGCGATGTCTTCAGTACCATTTCAATTTCAAGTTCGAAACTTTATACAAGTCTTTACTTATATATTATCTATTAGTATACAACAACATTTCCAATCAATGAAATATGAAAAATATCTATAACGGAGTGGGTCTGGCTCTTTAAGATTTCACTTTTTTAATATAAGTGATTTTAAAAATTTGTTTTGAAGCATACATATTTGCATACATTGAAATATGTTGAATTTCAAAAACATCAGTTGGTATGGTTTATTACATATATGCATTAACGTTAAGTGTTGTCTTTTTAGGAGAAACAAGTGCAGGTAAAAGTAGTCTGCTGAATTTGATACTTGGGAACAAAATTCTACCGTCCTCACTTCGTTCTAACACCTCGACTGTGTGTCGTCTCCATAACGACGAAAAGAAGAAGATTAAAGTGTACAACATATCAGGGGATACCGTTGTCTACGAGAAGTCATTTCATGATGGCGTATCTGATGATGAACTGAATAAGGAACTTCAGCAGTTTGTCAGCTGCGAGGACAACCGGTACAGATATGTCGATATATTCTGGCCGATTCCATTTCTAGGGGTAAGTTTTATAAAATTGTGCATACAGCATCAATATTAATACATGTGTTGTTGTTTTTGTTGTTGCTGCTGCTGCTGCTGCTGTTGTTGCTGCTGCTGCTGCTGCTGCTGCTGTTGCTGTTGTTGCTGCTGCTGCTGCTGCTGACAAGGGTCCCTCTATCCAAAATTACTACTCGTTATAAAGCATGATCACACAATTTATCTTGTTCATAAACTGTTCGTTTATCTTTCAACAGAGCCAAGTAATAATAGTGGACACACCAGGTGTAGGAGAAAACAGTGAGATGACCAGTCGGCTGATGCAATATCTGCCGAAGGCTGTAGCTTTCATCTATGTCATCAACTCGGAAAATGCTGGAGGTGTGCAACAGGATAGAGTAAGTTCGTGTGAGGAAGTTTGAAATGGTGGAGGTGTACAACAGGATAGAGTAAGTTTGTGTGAGGAAGTTTGAAATGCTGGAGGTGTGCAACAGGATAGAGTAAGTTCGTGTGAGGAAGTTTGAAATGCTGGAGGTGTACAACAGGATAGGGTAAGTTTGTGTGAGGAAGTTTGAAATGGTGGAGGTGTACAACAGGATAGGGTAAGTTTGTGTGAGGAAGTTTGAAATGCTGGAGGTGTACAACAGGATAGGGTAAGTTTGTGTGAGGAAGTTTGAAATGCTGGAGGTGTACAACAGGATAGGGTAAGTTTGTGTGAGGAAGTTTGAAATGGTGGAGGTGTACAACAGGATAGGGTAAGTTTGTGTGAGGAAGTTTGAAGTGGTGGAGGTGTACAACAGGATAGGGTAAGTTTGTGTGAGGAAGTTTGAAATGCTGGAGGTGTGCAACAGGATAGAGTAAGTTCGTGTGAGGAAGTTTGAAATGCTGGAGGTGTACAACAGGATAGAGTAAGTTCGTGTGAGGAAGTTTGAAATGCTGGAGGTGTACAACAGGATAGGGTAAGTTTGTGTGAGGAAGTTTGAAATGGTGGAGGTGTACAACAGGATAGGGTAAGTTTGTGTGAGGAAGTTTGAAATGGTGGAGGTGTACAACAGGATAGGGTAAGTTTGTGTGAGGAAGTTTGAAATGGTGGAGGTGTACAACAGGATAGGGTAAGTTTGTGTGAGGAAGTTTGAAATGGTGGAGGTGTACAACAGGATAGGGTAAGTTTGTGTGAGGAAGTTTGAAATGGTGGAGGTGTACAACAGGATAGAGTAAGTTTGTGTAAAGAAGTTTGAAATGGTTATAAATGAATACAAGAGTTACGTCACTATAAATTACGAATATTGAGAAATGTTCAAATCAAGAGGAAAGATTTTATTAATTCAACTTTTAATATATCTAGGTAAAAGTAATGATTGGGTCGGTGAAGATAAATGTAACGAATCACTTGTGTTGTTGTATACAAAGACATTTCAAAACTAAGACTGAACTGTTTTATGTTCAGCAATAATTTAAACTAATTCTCCTTCCCAAGAAAAGGAAAATTTATTGGACAATTTGGATAACCTTTTTGGAAATGACAACTCTGTGAGAAATTTTTAAAACAAACAAACACAGTAATGATAAGGTCAAAGAAAAAGTTGAAGCTGACTGAAGATAATGGATTTTGATTCTTTTAATGTATCAGTAGTCAAAATACCGATATCCTTGATCATGACTGAAGGCCGTTTCTAATATTTCTAACTTCCTCACAGGATGCACCAATGAGTTGTAAGGTTGACGACTTTAGTTCCGATTTTGTTCATCATTCTACATGTAGTTTATATGCCATTTGTTTGCCAGTTGTTAGTGTAATTTAACCAGGCGGGTATACTGTTTGGTGCTTTCGGCTGTTCATTTCAGTGTGATAGCACTTTAAAGCTGGCATCGATTTGTCTTCATCACAAGGAGGCTTACACTTTCGTATCGCATTCTATAGTTACCATAGACACTTCATCTAGCATGTGTATGACCATATTTGTTGATTGGACGATATGCAATATAGATTTCTTTGTGTCTTTTGTATAACTCTAATTACATAAAAAAAGGGGGGTGGTGGTTAAAATTCTTAACATGTATGGAACCAATATGAAACATAATTTTCACTGATTCATTCTGTATGCTTTTATTCACAGTTACTAAGGATTATTGAAACACAGAAACAATGGAGAGAGAAAGGACGAAAGCAGACATTTGATCAGAATTGCACCTTGTTCGTCTGTAACAAGTGGGACCAAGTGCCAGAACATGAGCGGGAAAGGGTATGGAACAACACCAAAGAAAAACTCCGGTGTTGGCCAGGCTTTACGGAGTCTCAGATGTTTAGACTTAGCACATTAGAGGTAAGGATACAATAACTAAAGCTGAGAACAAAGTTATGTAGCATTGGAAACGTACGTATTAGGACAGTATAACTATTTACTATAAGGAAGGCATATCATTAGTAATAACGAAAAACATAGTTGGTTAGTGTTTGCAAAGCTTTCGTGTTTTATAAATCAGTTTTTTTCATCAAAATTATTATTTCATTTTCTCCCAAATATTATTCGCCAATAACACAGTAAAACTTTCAGCAAACTCCTTTCGAGTTCCATTCCTTATTTACTAAAATAAACTGATTCCATGAATTATTTTCGTTTTAATTCTGTTCCTCAGGTTTCACAATACATTTGGAATAAAGCATTGTGATACATATATCATCCTTACACAAATCAAAACAACTTTTCATAAAAAAAGTGTTTGTTTATTTCCCTTTAACTTTCATTCTTTGAAAAGCAATATGTGTTAATATCACATATCTATATCTATATCACAACCATTACAATATCTATATCACAATTACATATCTATATCACAACCATTACCATATCTATATCACAACCATTACATATCTATATCACAACAATTACCATATCTATATCACAACCATTACCATATCTATATCACACCCATATCTATATCACACCCATTACATATCTATATCACACCCATTACCATATCTATATCACAACCATTACAATATCTATATCACAATTACCATATCTATATCACAACCATTACCATATCTATATCACAACCATTACATATCTATATCACAACAATTACCATATCTATATCACACCCATTACCATATCTATATCACAACCATTACCATATCACAACCATATGTCATATCACATTACCATATCTATGTCACAATTACCATATCTATATCACACCCATTACCATATCTATATCACAATTACCATATCTATATCACAACCATTACCATATCTATATCACACCCATTACATATCTATATCACAACCATTACCTTATCTATATCACAATTACCATATCTATATCACAACCATTACCATATCTATATCTCACCCATTACCATATCTATATCACAACCATTACCATATCTATGTCACAATTACCATATCTATATCACACCCATTACCATATCTATGTCACAATTACCATATCTATATCACACCCATTACCATATCTATATCACAATTACCATATCTCTATTACAACCATTACATATCTATATCACACACATTACATATCTATATCACAACCATTACCATATCTATATCACAACCATTACCATATCTATATCACAATTACCATATCTATATCACAACCATTACCATATCTATATCACAACCATTACCGTATCGATATCACAATTACCATATCTATATCACAACCATTACCATATCTATATCACAACCATTACATATCTATATAACACCCATTACATATCTATATCACACCCATTACCATATCTATACCACAACCATTACCATATCTATATCACAACCATTACCATATCTATGTCACAATTACCATATCTATATCACAATTACCATATCTATGTCACAACCATTACCATATCTATATCACAATTACCATATCTATATCACAATTACCATATCTATATCACAACCATTACCATATCTATATCACACCCATTACCATATCTATATCACAACCATTACCATATCTATATCACCATTATTACCATATCTATATCACAACCATTACCATATCTATATCACCATTATTACCATATCTATATCACACCATTACCATATCTATATCACAACCATTACCATATCTATATCACAATTACCATATCTATATCACAACCATTACATATCTATATCACAATTACCATATCTATATCACAACCATTACATATCTATATTATCTATATCTGTATCACACCCATTACATATCTATATCACAACCATTACCGTATCTATATCACAACCATTACCATATCGATATCACACCCATTACCATATCTATATCACACCCATTACCATATCTGTATCACAACCATTACATATCTATATCACAACCATTACCATATCTGTATCACAACCATTACTAGATCTATATTTGAATCTATCGAAAAATCAGGCTTTATTACAATTTTAATCACAGGCGGAAAGGCGGTACACCAATGGTCTGGACTACACTGACGATTTTAAAAATCTTCTCAGAGGCATTGAAAACATGGTACCTGCCAGTTTCCAGGAAAAGGTGAAACAGCACGCATGGTAAGAATATGGAGACTAGCGTATCGAATGGATATTAGATTAAAAACCTCTCGTCATTGCAAAGACGTAAAAACACCTTTTTTACTTCTTTTCGTTATTCTGGCATATTGAAAACCAATTACGTCATATATCAACAATAATGTCCTTCTTATAGTTTAATCTATTTTCGTAATTGATCATTAAATGCTTGTAAATGTGAAATGACAATTTCTTATAAGCTCTGGTGCCTTATATTTCGGATAGTATGATATTATTGTAAACTGGATCAGTGGCATCATTCATAAGCTTTAAAGCTATTCGTTTCATATTGAAATTTACAAAATTTTAATATTTAAGAAATACGTTGGTAGAGTTCAGCAATTTCAAACCAGTGGCAAGTAAATATTTGTAGTCACGTTGTATCAACGAAGAATATTGCTTTATTTATTAATGATATTTTCATTTCAAAATAGTTTATTAGCCTATATAAGTCTTCTCCCAAGACAACAGGGTGATCAGACATAAACATAATACACCATAAACATACACACACACACACACACACACATATACATACATACATACATACAAACACACACACACACACACACACACACACACACACACACACACATACATACATACATACATACATACACACACACACACACATACATACATACATACATACATACATACATACATACATACATACATACATACATACATACATACATACCTCACATTACATACATACAATCCCAGTATTAATGATATACATTTATCTTTTATTTTTCATTTCAAAATATCTTATAATTATGATTTTACTGACAAAAATGAATAGGTCAGCAGGCATAGCTTTTGAAAACCCTCTCCTTGCTTTTATAAACAAATATACACATCAGTCCAATAATGAATGAATACAGTGAACAATACTAACAGTTTTAGTGGTACTATCATCACCCAATAATTGGACAAAAATTAGTCAGAAAATCAGTTTGTATAAAATGGAGCACAGGCAAGTTGCAAGTAACTGTGTCATAATTCATTCGTTTCATAATCATAAATGTAGGTTACAGTGACACGTTGGAAATCAAATTTTACTAGAAAAGTAAATATACATTATAGATATATATACACTTTTTATTTTCACAACAAATCATATGTTAATATTTCATAAACTTCTATACATAGGTGGCAGGAAAAGCTTCTAAAGAAAATCATATGTTAATATTTCATAAACTTCTATACATAGGTGGCAGGAAAAGCTTCTAAAGAAAATCATGTTCCACGTGACAGCACGTATCAATAATACTCGGCTTAGCCAGGAAGAAAAGAGGGCGAAGAAGGAAAGATTAGAGGAGCGGCTACGTAGACTTGAATCTGACACAGAGGAGGTAGGCAAGATCATATTACTTCAGTGTATATTGATAAAAATGTTAGTCGACTAGTTATTTAAATAGTTGTTTGTGATATTATTACATCATATCTTCTGAATCACTCCAGTTGTCTGTTTGTAAGACAGATATAATCTAATAGTATTCTTGAAGCATTTGCATTTTTGGGCCTTTTGAATAATCCTAGCAATGACAGCTTACTTCGTTTTCTTTTAATAAATCTAAATTATTTCACATTTTTTTACATACAGTTTTATGACACCTGTACCTTACACAGACATTTCCTACTATTCTGATGTCAAAACATAATATATATGACATTAAGATAAATATGCATTGAATTTCAGTAGCTTGCAGACAAGACCAGTGCATGCTCACTTCATCCAGGGTCAAAATTAAGAAGTGCATTTTAATTGAATTATTTTCTGGAACTACTTATTTTTAAAAATGCCTATTTTTCTTTAAGATATTCGTTATTTCGAAGCTAATATCCAGTCTAAGAAATAATTGTGTTCGTCCATGTCAAGAGTTTGGAACTTACGTTAACACAATACATTTTTATTATCTAAAGGTGAAGAGAAAGCTGAAAGATGAGGCCAAACAAAAATGCAAGGCTATCAGTAAGAATTTGTATGCACATATTCATAATCCGGAGACCATCAGAAAGCTGAAAATGTGGGACCCTCAAGTAGACGTACCGATCCGAGAGACAGACTTCGGCCTCATCGAGCATGAGGCGAAGGAAAAAATTCTTTCTAAGATTGGAAAAGAAATTAAGCTGTGGTGCGAGAGAGAGAGGTTATCTGAAATTACAGATGAACTTGCAAAACGTTTTAGAGAGGAGTATCGTATGATTGAGGAACAGTGCCAGGATATTGATATGCTCGTGCAAAGCGTGAGAAGTTCTGTGGATATAGTTGATGTTGAGGAAGAAGTGGATGAACCTTCTCACCGAATCCCTCTTTTTGCTGGCAAAGAAAAACTGGCATTGGTGCTTACGGCTCCATTGTGGGTTCCGTTGATGGTGCTTGCCCTGTCTATAGCTGCTCCTGCCATGGGTGTTATCGCCATGAAAGACGCTTTCAAGGAAAGGCAGATGTACAAAGACTATCTCAAAAGTAAAGGAGTATTCATGAATAAATGGGCAGATGAAGTGCTGGCTAAATTTACATTGGAAACGATATCTAGCAAACTAGTAACGACATACCTGGAAAATTTTTACACATGTTTAGAGCAACTTTGTGACGTGGTCATCCCAAGACAGATCCAATCCGACAGGGAACTGATTGACAACATCGAAGGAGAAGCTCGCAGGTCGTCTGCTATCCGACGACAGTATCAACCTCTGGAGAGACGGTGTCAGAATATAACTGGTAAACTGCTGCTCACACAAATGGAATACTTCTATGAGGGTAATGTTGTCAACAGGAACATAACGAAGGGAGATTTCCTTGGCAAAGGATCCTTTGCTACAGTGTACAAAGCCGATGTTTTGATTGGAGACGAGAAGAAACAAGCGGCCGTTAAGTGTATGACATGTCCTTTAGAATACTCCGACTCCTACTCACAGCTGACAGAGGTCACAACACTCATGTAAGTATACTCAACTTACTGAAAATTAAACTTTGATACTGATCAAGATTTTGTAGTATACAAACTTTTAAGCAGAAATCTGGTTCGGTTCATCATGTATACATGTAATACTTTTTTTATTTATTCTATTGAATTTGTTTCAGACAATTTTCTCATGGATGGATTGTAAAGCTGTATGGTGTTTCTTACGAAGAAGTTGGTGACCAAAAATATCTCCAACTCGTCATGGAGCTCTGTGACTTCACTCTGTCATCACAAATCTTCCCTGGACCTGATGGCAGACATGCTCCTGTAGAGCCATGTAGCCGGTTTGGTATCATGTCTGCCAGTGGCAGGTCGTCCTTTGATTTTTTCAAGAGGGTTTCAATGGATGTGTGTAAGGGGTTGGCCTATATACACTACAGAAATTTTATACACCGGGACCTCAAACCGAGCAATATTCTGGTAGGTTAAGGTCAACCGTGTTTCTCCTAATTATAGGAAGCTTTGATTTCATATCACTGAACATTAAAATGATTGGTAGGAGTACCTAATTCATTGATGTTATATTCGCCTTTTGGTTTTATTTGCTTATTGTTTTGGTTTTGTTTTATGTCTTATCGTTATTTATCCATTTATTTATTTAATGTTGTTTGACGGAAGAGTTCATATATTCGATAGAAACAATTAACAAAATTTAAGACGATATTCTACAAAGCTTTCTTCATTAGGAAAAGTGATGTTCTTATTTACCTATTTCTACTGTAGTACAGATAACAATTGTCAACGATATGTAAATCATGATAGAATTGTGTGATACTTAGAGATTGACGTTTACATAATACATATCTTGATCCGGATTTATACGTGGAAAATCTTATCTTATAGGAAATCGATCCTTAAAAGTCTCATCCTCTTGTTTACATTTTTTTTGTCTTTTTTTTTTTCAAAGAAATTGTTCCGGTTTTTTTTTTTTTTTTTTTTAAATAAACTTAAAATTTTATGATGATTTAATATGTAAAAATTTGACCTTATTGTTTTCCAATTGAAAGAATTTTAATTTTACTTTTGAAAACTAAGGTTTTAAAATTCAATTGTTTAAATGGATAATTGAAATGTTGCAGCTACATGGCGACCGTGCCAAGATAGCCGATGTCGGCTTGTCTAAGGAGACAAACTTAATCACCGGAACGCTGGCGGGGACGCCCAGTTACATGGCACCTGAAATGATCGAAATGAAATTGTATGGTACGGAAGTGGATATCTACAGTTTGGGAATCCTGTTGTGGGAGATCTGGTATGGCGCAAAGGTATATCACCAGGATGGTATAGACGGCCTCCAGGTTTTGGAGCACGTCAAACTTGGTCATCGACCAAGTTTCAACCTACGTCATGTGCCTCCCCCAGATTTACAAAAACTCATGAAACGTTGCTGGAATGCGGTCGGGACAGCTCGGCCTGAGGCAGGAGAGGTCTTCGATATCATAAAAGACCAAAACTATTACGATAGATTAGACTAAATACAGAATTTCTGTTTAATAGCAAGTATTATCACAACGATCCTTAATAGAAGAATCCAAACTTCCTAACTGATGATCGTTCTTCTCTAAAATATGACAATTACGAAATGTATGAAATTATTTAGGAGAATGCATTTCCCGGTAAAGATTTTTATATTTCTTCTTTTCAATTTTCACTTTTCTCAGTTGCATCATGGGTTTTTAAATTACATCCTTATTATCACGGACAAGTCCTAATAGGACGAAACAACTGTATGATATAGCATCACTGACGAGTCCTAGAAGGATGAAACAGCTGTATGATGTAGCATCACAGACGAGTCCTAGAAAGACGAAACAGCTATATGATGTAACATCACAGACGAGTCCTAGATGGACGACACAGCTGTATGATGTAGCATCACAGACGAGTCCTAGAAAGACGAAACAGCTGTATGATGCGGTTATTATCATTCATTATTTGGCTCAATTGTAACTGATTCTAAAATTATCTTGAAATGTGCTTCTCACTTGACAAGGACTTCGATCATCGTTATTCTGAAATCAAAATTTCCGCATATACTTTCTATATTGTTAATGATTTGTTCTGATTTAAAGACACGTAGAAGTCAGCAGAATCCTTGGATTTATAAAGAAAATTAATTTTTAATCTTAATCCGAAGTTTCTACCTAGTCAATGAAATATTGAAGCCACGACATGACTTAAATATTTAAACTGCACAACCCCAGACCTACCAAGGCTGGTTTGAAATATCTTAAGCTTTTGGAAGGTTATACAATATTAAAAATTACCAAACCCAGACCTACCAAGGCTGGTTTGAAATATATTAAGCTTCTAGCATGTTAATACAATATCTAAAATGGGTAAACACAAAATGTAGTTATCGACTTGGGAATGAAGATATGTCAAATGGGATATTTGTTAACCCTCTATTTACAGTCGTCTTCCTTAAGTGACATAGTCATACGATCAGCGTGTGATATGTTGATAATTAGTTGTGAGATTTTTTTAGAGGTTTGACATCTGTAAAGAATATATGTTACCTTCCTGAGAATGTAAGAATTTATAAAAACAAAGATACCCAACTGTGTTAGACTACCAGTTGTAGATATTACGTGCGTTATCAGGTTGTGCTGTAGATTGAGGTGAAAGGATTACGAAGACAGACGACATCACATTAGTAAATCGATTCCTTTTGATAATATTGCTAGTTGTATTTATGGCAGAGTCTCTTGGTCTACGTTTTTGGGACCCGTAGTTGGGATATCATTAAATATAATGTCCTGAAATAGAGTTGTAAGTGTTCAACGTGATAGATTAAGTTTTCTCTTGGCATTGGTATTTTGCTAAAACGACATTTGTGACGAATTTTGTTTCACATTCAGTTTGGAGAAATCATGAAATTTATTTCAAAATAAAAAAAAATACCAAATTTATTTGAAGGCGGTATGATGTGAAAACAAAAGGCAAGAAAACCTGAGACAAAATACATTGGAAAAATACATTATGTTCTGAAGGTGTAAGTGTCTGATGTCATTGAAACCTTCGTCTATTCTCTGTGTCAGCATTTAGCTTTATAACGTTTTGGAAATAGAGGTCATTGCAGTGAATTCAGGTTATACACATGAAATTTACTTTGTTCTAAATTTATCTGATATATGAAAATTGCGAAATTCACTTAATTATGAGGATAGTGTTCCTTCCCATCTAGTTTTAGGTCCTTCGCTTCACTGAAAAATCCTACAAGGACGAGACAGTTGTATGACACAGCTGAATTTGTTTCTACTGTATCGAATTGTTTGTTAAACGAAACAAACAGGGACAGCTTTCCACCAAGCTGTATGATAACCGTGACGATTGCAATTTCTCTACCGTGAATTTTCTAATTCTTGAAAGCAGCATCCTTGCATCCCCAATTCATGGTATCCAAGGGCGTGTTTCATGTAAGAGAGTCACATTCCTTAGATTGCCCAAGTTTTATATGGCGGTTCACATCGATGAAGTAGAGGACGCTAACCCTTCAGAACACCTGGTCTTAATCTATTCGCACTTTTTCAGGAATTCCTTGCTTTTATTCATATTTTGCGTTGAATGTGTGTTGGAATAAAGATTCTGTAGGCTTGTCGATATTTTCTTGTGTTCTATCAATATTTCTGGAAATCTGGACGAAAAGAAATGTCTGAGGAATGTGTTTTTATTGTCATTCTTGGCTACAGAAGGCCGACAGTTCTTATATCTAACAACTTCCGTTTTGCATTATTCTTTAGCGTAGTCATGCAAAACATAAATGTCTGGCTTCATGCATATTGGAGTAAGCTCCCTTCGATCGTTAATACCTGCTTGTTCACAGTGTGACCACATAAACTGATGCATTTCACAGTTGTACGTTGATGTGAAACAGCGAAAAATTGCAAAAAAAGTAGTTAAGTTCAAAAAAAAATAAAAGAAAAACGTTACCGTTTTGTTTTCAATCATTTACTGTAGAAAATTTTGGCAAAATTCACTTTAAACTGGCAAGTCTTGCTTTGGATATGGTTTTCCTTCATATCTTTTTTAATACTTTGTCGCACAATCCAAGAAATGAATACCTTATTTCTAGTATGTAAAACCGGCCCAGTCTTTGCCCAGTTCAGTTCGAAGATGTCTTTTGTTTTGGAGTTTACATAACAGCGAAAGGAATCCATTTGTAGTGATTGGGAGATATCGTATAGAACGTTTATCTCCTTTAGCAAATGTTAGTGTTGTGTGAGAGTTTAACGAGATTTTCATGTGAGAGTATACGCATTTAATTTAAAACAAAACAACTGGACAAAAATAATGAAATATTGATTACAATATCTCATAAATCATATCTACCACTTTCTCCGTGCTGACAAAAAATGATAACAACATCAGGTTAGGACGTTTTATTTACGATAAACTCTATTTAACATTGTACAAGTACTTAATAAATAATTGATATTGAAATCATATATACAGATATATCATAACACCTAGAGAATCCCATTTCATACATTTTTTAACATTGACATTAACACGTTTTATGCACTCCCTATAAACATTTACGAAACCGATAAATAAATATTTTATTTATATTTTATATTTTAGCGAATATATCCTACATAGAACAATAAAGTCATTATATAAAAGTTTGTATAATACGATAAGATGTTTCAAAAAATTAGTATATAAAGCTGTTACGTTGTGTGTTACTTGACATAAGTATTCTTTGATTCCCGTATCTGAATCTAAAAATACCTGAATCGAACAAAAATCGCGGTCTCACTTTCCTTTTTTATTCCCTACGATGTACATGAATATTTGTATAAGGCAGTATTTGACAGCTCTATTTAGCAAATTTTATTACTTTTTTCAAATCATCAGTTTGGTGAATGCAGACAAACTTGAGACATGTTCATGTATCTATATATAACGTCTTGTATGTAATGGGTTTAGGAATGGTCGCAATTTCCGGTGTACGCCTATTGCTTAGTTTCTGGAATTATGGAGTAAATGATCTGAATTGCCGAGATTCCGAAATCATAAAGAGATAAGGAAATTGGGTTATAAACTTCTGTTTCAGCCGAGATTTTAAAAATATATCCGTACAATCGAGTTTACAATATATTGATGTACACCGTCCGGATAACCGAGTTTCTAATCTCCGAATTACCGAATTCTCAGCTGAAAAAAGGACCGGATCACTGGGTTACTTAGCGAAGCTCTATACAAAAGTTTGAAAAACATGAAAAAAGAAATTCTACAGGTTCAACCGAAGTGGAAGTATAGATATATATGTTTGCAAAGAGTGATAAATGAGACAACTTCCATTTGCGATGTACAATATAGGCTTATGAAATAGTAATGCTGTAGATATACATCTGGTGCACAATACCTGAAATCTGAAGGCTTGGATTATATCTCACATCGATATACATCTTTATACATAGCATAGTGTTATAAAAATGAAACGCCCTGATGACTCTTGAAAATCGAACGAAACCAACCCTATCCAGATTTGTCTTTCCTTACAACCAGTAACTTACAACGGCTAAAATTGAAGTTTTCATAACAAATTGAATTTAATCATTATGTCTGATAAGGCAGATAAACAGAATACCCCAATGCCCTGTACTTAGGCAGTGATTATATCAAAGTTTTGTGTCATACTTCATATTTAATCTAGTTAAGTATACTTTTTAAACTATTACGACCCCTCGGTAGTCTAGCATCCTGTTGTAGTATCAGAAAAAAACAAAATCATTTCCGCGTGTGATTCTACCATTTGTCTTATATGAAAAACACCTGTAGCAAAAAGAACAAAAACTACAAGCGTCGGCTAAACACTTCCGTCATAGTTTGGCTTCCCATTAACTGCTCTATATGTACTATTATATATCACAGGCCGACTTCCAGTCGTACAATAATAGAATTTTTGTTGTGGATGTTGTTTTGCTATTTGCTTTTCATCTATTTTTTGTTTTTTTTTTTTTTTTTATAATTCCGGCGGAAGGAATGAAGAATGGTCGTGTTCCGGTGACGTCATTCATTGACGCAGTTCCACATCAGCTATATTTGAATACTTTGACGTCACCGTTCTCTTGCGTAATTATGAGATGTCCAAACGGACTGAGACAGACAGCGATAGGATGTGCCAGTCCGTCCGCGGAGCAGAGGACTCTACTCTTATACTCTCCGTCTGGACCGAGAGCGTGAATAGAATTTCCAGTCTTGTCGGCCAAAAACAGATTTCCCTGGCGGTCCGTGCAGATTCCACGTGGATCACACACGATGTTGTCAGGGAGGACTTGTTCGAACTTCACCCCGCCGTCACGGCAGATGCAGATGATACCGTTCCGAGATTGACAATCTGAGACGAGAATCTCGCCTGCCGCGTTAGTTGTGACGTAATACGGCCACGTGAACAGAAGTTTGCCCGGCTGCCGTCTGTCCTCGCGGTACGTCTGTAGAACAGTCCCGTCAAGCGCAAGAACGTCGACACACTGAATACCAGAAGCGCAACAGGAAACAACTAGGACAGGGACGTTTGGCGAAGTTGTGACGTCGCAGCTGATTCCTCGGTACTGTTTTACAGTCCTGACGCGTTTTCGGATCCTCATATTGTTGTCTTGTACGGATACAAACATGATTGTAGCAAGTTCCGGAAGAGTAACAGCTACTTCTGCACTAGCCACGTCTACAATTCCGTGCGGCCAGCTCGGAACGGCGACCTCTCCCATCACATTTCCTGTAGCGTCAAAAGCCTTGACTTTCTTGTTGTGAAAGTCAGTGATTACGGGGGTACCGTCCTCCAGCATAGTGACGTCAAGAGGCCAACACTTCTTAGCGTCGCCATCTGTTTTCCCGTTGAATGAGAAAAGCATCGGGACTGTGCGAGATTTCGTCTGAGGAGGGATATTTGCATTTTCGGCATTTTCGGATTCCGCATTCTTTCTTTGAGAGATGTTTGTTGCACTGTTCCTAGCTCGGGGAAGGGAGTTAACTCTGTTAACGTCCGTGATCTTCTGAGACCGCTCAGTCCGGGGCGTGCGTGGCGCTCTTGGAAGGGTGCTGGATTTAATTGGGGTTGTCCTAGACACAGCTACTCTTGGAGCATCACGCGCAGACGTCATTCTTGATGATGGCCTTGATATTGGCGTGTCACGTGCAGATGACGGTCTTGATGATGATCCTCTGCGGGCTCGTATTGGTGGAGACAATAGTTCCTGTGAGCCAATCGACTCACTTGACGTCGAAGACGTCGACGATGCTGACGAACTCATCATTGAGGCGGCAGGAGATTGAGTCGGTGATCGCTCGACACGAAATGTTCCTGTCCGTTTGATTGAAGATCGTCGTTGCGGAGGTTGTCCGTCCTTCTCTGACAAACCATTCATACTGAGAAAAGTCTCCTTTTTTAGATCCACTAAGTCCACGATTTTGCCTATGGAGCGTAGCTCAAGCAATCGTTGTATACACGAGTCAGGAATGAGTCGGTGTCGAGTACTCAATTTACTCAAACGGGATTTCTGGATGTTAGCACGCATATCGTCTACTTGTAACTTAATTGCATCAAAAACAGTGAGGAGTTCCGAATCACTGCCGAACTGGATAAGATTTTTGAGAAATGTGCCAGTATTGTTTACATTTTTCTTCATTTCATCAATCTCGTTCATTCTTCCCTTCACAACCGTTGCCGTCTGAACGTTTTTCTCATCTAGATCAACAATAAGTTTGTTTTCTAAATTGACTAAAGTTTCGTTGACCTTTTTCCTGATCGTCGACATTTCGCGCATGATTGACTCTTTGTTGTTTGAAAGCTCGCCGAGTTCTTTTTCATGTTCATCTCGCCATTCTCGTAAAACCTCATTCTGCATTTGGAGATTCTTTTGAACATACTCCGTTTCCGGTTTTAACTTTTGAGCTGCATCTATCAAAGTCTCTACCATTTCACAGCGTCTGTGTTGCACGGCAACGCACGAGGAACAAATAGTCACGTGACAATCAACACAATAGTACTCAATGACTTTGTCTCTGTGATGAAAACATGGAATTTCCTTTTTATTGGATCGAATGGACTCAAGTGGATCATTGCGCATGTCTCGGAGTGACACCACGATATGTTCTCGGCAAGCTTTGATGACATTGTGTGCCTTGATACAAGAATCACAGAACACAACTTTACATGTCTGACACCAGTTTTCGGCTTTGGCACCAATTCTGTTTCCGTCTCTACAACAACTTTCGCAGTATTTATCTGTAGATTGCATATCAATTTTCTCCATTAAACTGCTCACGAAGTGATTATCCGGAAACATCTCTGTCCATTGTCCGAAGTTGGAATTCCCATTCGGAACTTTCAGTTCTATATCCGCCCGACATACGGGACAGTTGAAATGTTTTCCGTGTTGAGCAGGTTTTTCTATTTCCGAGTCACTTTCTGTGGAACTACCATTGTCATCCCCAATGGACTTCTTTAAAACTTCTATCAGACATTGGCGACAGAACGTGTGGAGGCACGGAAGAAGTTTTGGAGATGTATAATCCTGTAAACACACCGGACACTTTAGGAACTGATCTTGTATCTCCTTTAGAGTCTCCATCCTCAGCCGCGGTTATGGAGTGCGATGTCAATGGTATACTACAATTATCAGGTGTTGGCAGTCATCACAGACCTGGAAAATACGAAAATAACAGGGGTCACTTTAGGGCAACAAAAGCTTATAAGATTTTACAAATTTACCTTTACCAGAAAATTTGAAATTTTTACGATGAAATTTTGCAGATAAATGTACTTCTAAAAATCATCTGATGCAGTAGACTTGACACAGCAAGGCCTGTTTACATACAAAAATCACCCTCTAGACCGAAATACATTACCTTATTACAAGGTCATTCAAAAATCGTCAAATTATTATCCGGAAGTATGTCGCATAAATCTGTGATTGATTCCTCTAATCCGACACCTTGTGAAACAAGATATATTCGTGAGATTGACCTGTGTAATCTGACACGCTGTGAGCCACAAAACGTTGGTCAGATTGACCTGTTTAATCTGACACGCTGTGAGCCACAAAACGTTGGTCAGATTCACCTGTTTAATCTGACACTCTGTGAGCCACAAAACGTTGGTCAGATTGACCTGTTTAATCTGACACGCTGTGAGCCACAATACGTTGGTCAGATTGACCTGTTTAATCTGACACGCTGTGAGCCACAAAACGTTGGTCAGATTCACCTGTGTAATCTGACACGCTGTGAGCCACAAAACGTTGGTCAGATTGACCTGTTTAATCTGACACGCTGTGAGCCACAAAACGTTAATCAGATTGACCTGTTTAATCTCACACGCTGTGAGCCACAAAACGTTGGTCAGATTGACCTGTTTAATCTGACACTCTGTGAGCCACAAAACGTTGGTCAGATTGACCTGTTTAATCTGACACGCTGTGAGCCACAAAACGTTGATCAGATTGACCTGTTTAATCTGACACGCTGTGAGCCACAAAACGTTGTGAGCCACAAAACGTTGGTCAGATTGACCTGTTTAATCTGACACGCTGTGAGCCACAATACGTTAATCAGATTGACCTGTTTAATCTGACACGCTGTGAGCCACAATACGTTAATCAGATTGACCTGTTTAATCTGACACGCTGTGAGCCACAAAACGTTAATCAGATTGACCTGTTTAATCTGACACGCTGTGAGCCACAAAACGTTAATCAGATTGACCTGTTTAATCTCACACGCTGTGAGTCACAAAACGTTGGTCAGATTGACCTGTTTAATCTGACACGCTGTGAGCCACAATACGTTAATCAGATTGACCTGTTTAATCTGACACGCTGTGAGCCACAATACGTTGGTCAGATTGACCTGTTTAATCTGACACGCTGTGAGCCACAAAACGTTAATCAGATTGACCTGTTTAATCTGACACGCTGTGAGCCACAAAACGTTAATCAGATTGACCTGTTTAATCTGACACGCTGTGAGCCACAAAATGTTAATCAGATTGACCTGTTTAATCTGACACGCTGTGAGCCACAAAACGTTAATCAGATTGACCTGTTTAATCTGTGAGCCACAAAATGTTAATCTCACACGTGTGAGCCACAATACAGATCAGATTGACCTGTTTAATCTGACACGCTGTGAGCCACAAAACGTTAATCAGATTGACCTGTTTAATCTGACACGCTGTGAGCCACAAAACGTTGGTCAGATTGACCTGTTTAATCTGACACGCTGTGAGCCACAAAACGTTAATCAGATTGACCTGTTTAATCTGACACGCTGTGAGCCACAAAACGTTGGTCAGATTGACCTGTTTAATCTGACACGCTGTGAGCCACAAAACGTTGGTCAGATTGACCTGTTTAATCTGACACGTTGTGAGCCACAATGTATAGTAAAATGTACCTGTCTTATCTGATACTCTGTAAGAAACAATACATTGATCAGATTAACCTGTTTAATCTGACAACATATTGAAAACGATCATCGCTCTGATGAATGTCAGATTACACAGGTCCTATCTGATAAACTTATACTGGAATTTGACTCGTTGCCGAAATATTTAAGCTTCAGATAACATGGATTAAAAATGTCTGTCATTTTCTTTGACCGTGACAATACAACAAAATTTCTATGTACTTTTAGCTGTTTTTACGCTTCAGTTCTCGTACTTTATAACCTTCTTTCAGAAAATAGTAAAAAATTAAAATTATTACATATAACACAAATGAGTAATTTTATTTGATATCCATATCGTCAGCAGAATGAAACGCTTGGTCTTACAACACGCTGTTTATATCTAACCAAACAATAAGGTGTTGGACATTTTTCATCTTTTGTGTCAGGTCAATTTCAGATGATTCATCAAATGGTGTTTTTCCACCACAAAGAATGTTAATGTAGATATTAGACGATAGTTCGGTGTTGTTGAATCAGATCCCATTAATGATGTCTATGTAGGATTGTGTTGTTAATATCTATATACAGGTATTTATATGTAAACGTCCAGACGTTTCATCTGCCGACATGTAATCGGCTTTTCTCTCCACCACACGTTCTCAACTAACCTTTCTGGTTCTCTAAGGTTCTCTAATTCATTATTTTACATTCTCTCCACCACACATTCTCAGCTAACTCTTCTGGTTCTCTAAAGGTTCTCTAATTCATTATTTTACATTCTCTCCACCACACATTCTCAGCTAACTCTTCTGGTTCTCTAAGGTTCTCTAATTCATTATTTTACATTCTCTCCACCACACATTCTCAGCTAACTCTTCTGGTTCTCTAAGGTTCTCTAATCCATTATTTTCTATTCAACCCTTCTTGTTCTCTAAAGGTTCTCTAATCCATTATTTTCTATTCAACCCTTCTTGTTCTCTAAGGTTCTCTAATTCATTATTTTACATTCTCTCCACCACACATTCTCAGCTAACTCTTCTGGTTCTCTAAAGGTTCTCTAATTCATTATTTTACATTCTCTCCACCACACATTCTCAGCTAACTCTTCTGGTTCTCTAAAGGTTCTCTAATTCATTATTTTACATTCTCTCCACCACACATTCTCAGCTAACTCTTCTGGTTCTCTAAAGGTTCTCTAATTCATTATTTTACATTCTCTCCACCACACATTCTCAGCTAACTCTTCTGGTTCTCTAAAGGTTCTCTAATTCATTATTTTACATTCTCTCTACCACACATTCTCAGCTAACTCTTCTGGTTCTCTAAAGGTTCTCTAATTCATTATTTTACATTCTCTCCACCACACATTCTCAGCTAACTCTTCTGGTTCTCTAAAGGCTCTCTAATTCATTATTTTCTATTCTTTCCACCACGTGTTGTAACCGATCTTTCTGTTCTATTTCTCTCAACCCTCCCACCACACGTCCTCGGTGAAGTTTTCTGTTTCTGTAAACTATTTTCTGTCATTCTTTTATTTTTTCCTTTAAGTTTTTTTTCTTATACCACATAGTATGAGCTGCTCTCTCTATTTCTTGTATCCGTTCTTTTTTAATATATGTTTTTCTTAGCCAACATATGATTCTTTTTTAAATATGTTACTCGCACAATTCTCCTTTACACACGTTCTCAGCTGAAGTCCGTGTTTCCTGAAGTTGTATACTGTATAGCTCTGTTTTAGCATGAACAAACCTACAGGAGTCGATTTTTGTGAAAGGTAGCATCACTCCTTAAGGAGTTATTAAAGTGTGAAGTCGCCCGTTCACGGAGTCTGTAAGGAGTATGATCAGACCAATATTTGACCACGGTAGTGCGTAGCCATACACCCCCGCCTCCAAAATCCATCCCTATCGCTCCCGAGTCATTATTCTTAGCGATACCGGTAAACGCCTTCTCTAACTATACTAGGTACGTAAGTCAATAAGTATTATTTACCATGTTAACTAATATTTACCTTAGAATGTTTACATCTCTTCTAGGTGTTACGATTATGTATTCTGTGTTTGTAGTAGGGCCTGGCTGGATATCTACTACTACTGGTACGATGCTATAAGCTTTCACATGAACTTAGGTAGGGGAAGGCATCAGAGGGTTTGCTTGTTTGCGTTCCTGTGTGTGGCAGGTGGGCAGTTCATTTGCGGGTGGAGAGGGATATATGATAGGTAGGTTGTATTATGAAAGGTGAAACGGTGAACAGACTTGTGACGTTAGGAAGTTAAAATCTTCCCAAACCTCGACTTCAATATGTCGGGTTTGTTGTTTTTGCATTTTCTGAAGCCAATTTCCTTCAGCCGTCCCTGCGTCTCAATATCAACATTTTCGGAGACACTTTTACGACAATTATTGTTAAATTCGAGTATCACACGGGAAAAAAACTGCGATACCAACAAACCATTTAGTAGTGAAAATAAGTACACGTATGTTTTACTGCATAGTGATGTGTATCGAGAAAACAGGTTCATGTAAACATATAATTACTTTTATGTACAGTGGTGATCGTCGTTTGACAATCCTTCCACTAAAAAGATACATCGGAATATATTGAACCCAAGCCAATCAATTATCAATTCAACAACAGATGTATGTCGCTGTAAGTTTAGCTCTATAATACATATAATTGATAAAAGTGACGCGAGCATCTAACACGTGTATCAATGTGTAAGGACAGAATATTTCCGTCTACTCAATGTGAAGAAACGATTTTTGATAATAGTAATCACAAAAAGGTTTATTTGTCATAAATTGGTTTATTTTGGTTAGAGAAAACGACATAAATAAGAATATCGGACGTCTCTAATAAGAATAGGGTATACAACAGAACCTCCAGGCAAAGTACAAAAAATCTAACCTTGTCAGTCTGGACACTTTGCTTTGTGTGTACAGCAGAACCTTGTTAGTCTGGACACTCCGGTTTGTGTGTACAGTAAAACCTTGTTAGTCTGGACATTTTGGTTTGTGTGTACAGTAGAACCTTGTTAGTCTGAACTGTTTGGTGTGTGTGTACAGTAGAACCATGTTAGTGTGGACACTTTGGTTTGTGTGTACAATAGAACCTTGTTAGTGTGGACACTTTGGTTTGTTAGTGTCTGGACACTTTGGTTTGTGTGTACAGTACAACCTTGTTAGT